AGTCTTCACTTCGACATACGCTACACACTTCTCCGAATTGTCCGATACCCCACTAATATTTGATTGGATGCTACATATCTGTTGGTCGAGTGGTAGGTAAGCAAACAGAGACGGAAAATAAAGCCGTTTGGAATGACTGTGGAAGTCAAGTACAAAAGAGGACGAAATATCTAAGATGGTTGCTATAAGAGTGGAGGTGGTGGTCAACGGGTTGGCAGTGGCGAAACGGACACTGGTTTTCGGGTAGACTTACTTGATGTTTGGTTAAGGCGAAGTTTGACAGAAATAATAATAATAATAATAATAATAATAATAATAATAATTTGCCGACTCGTAAAGGTAGCTGTAGCAACATGGGGGAAACGAGAGAAAGTGAGAAAAACTACCAGCAACTTGACTGATAAAAATATAATAAATTTAGACTTGAAAAATATAATAAATTTAGTAATGATTAAAATATAAAATGTAATAAATTTAGTAATAATTGAAATATGAAAATATTTTAAATTTAAAATATAATTTAAAATATAATAATACAAAAATATAATAATTTAAAATATAATTTAAAATATAAAAAATAATAAATTTTGTAATAATTATAAAACATGAATGTAACGGGTCGTGCCCATAATAATAAGCACGCTTGGAATCATGACATTCAAGAGAGAACTGAAATTGCCCAGACCGCATCAGTGCTAGTGTCTGCAACGCTGCAAAGAACAGTGCATAATGTTTAGGGAGACTTGCTGTTACTCAGTCTCTAATGCTAACCATTATATATCCGATATAAAATAATAATAATAATAATAATAATAATAATAATAATCGGCTATGAATCTCACGAGTTTTGATCTTAATTGGTTGGAGGTGTTTACAGCTACATATTCTGCCTTGATTAATTAAGATGGACTACAGTAAATATCCCGTTCGGTACCTCATATTTTCTTGTTGGATGCCTGATCTTAACCAGTTGTGTATCTTCCATTGACGTTGAGGCACTGTGCTTCTCTAGTGTAATTGGTAGTGGATTATCATGGCTGTGTGTCGAATGGTGAGCTTGTAGGATGGGGCAGACAAAGCAACTTTGGAGTGCTACCTAGATATTTGGTACCACCTTCAACCAGAGATCGTCTGAGCGGACTAGGTTACACGACATTAAGGTATTTCTATCTGCACCAGACACCATAATCCTCTCGCCACATTGCGCACATTTGGCTGTGATTCATATGCCTGATATACTCTTATTAGACTGGGTGTAATGATAGATATATTGGGCTTCATATATTTGTATCCCAGCGTAATAATTTTATGGGACTTTACAATATGCACAAAGAGAACAATCAAAGCTAATCGTCCAGCATCGTGATCAAAGACCACAAAAACAGAATGTGCTTTCTTATTGATATGGCAGTCCCTGCAGATTGTAATGTATCTTTGAGGATATTAAAAAAAAAACTATCAAAATACAAGGATCTTCAAGTAGAAATCTAAAAATGTGTGGCACATGAGGACATCACTAATTCCAGTTGTAGTTGGAGCCCTCGGATTGATTGGAAAAGGTTCCGATATACTCATTGAAGAGATTCCTAGTAGCCCACGCCTGAAAGAAAGACAAAATGTTTACTCACAAGTACAGCTCACACATTACGAAGGGGTTTATCTCTGTAAAATGTGTATGATCTTAGTTTGATTTTTTTTTACAAAAATGGTCAGTGGAAAATGTCATGTCATTGGCCCTAGGTCTCTGGTTGGGACCCGGAATGAAATGTGTATACAACAAAAATCAAAGGAAATAATAATAATAATAATAATAATAATAATAATATTTTACTATGAAATGCACCAATCTATAAATGTTAATGTCATTAGCACAAGGTAGATAATTAGAGTTATCTCCCTTGCCACCAGCGAAATCATGTCTAGGTTAAGAAAATAGCGAACTTTTTTTTATAAAACGTGCAGATGAAAAAAACAACTCCATAAAAGAATAAAGTATAACAATAATAAGTCGGAAAATATGTGAAAACTGAATAATCGTCAGAAATATCAAAATCTAACGCCATTTATTTACAATATAAGAAATTACTGGTGAATACTCGTTTTCGAGTACGCCAGTCTGCGAAGGCGGCTAGACAAACCCTATTACAGACGCCTATTCAACCCCCACAGAAACTCAACTGTCAACTCTGAGAGAGAGAGAGAGAGAGAGAGAGAGAGAGAGAGAGAGAGAGAGAGAGAGAGAGAGAGCGTATAATCCAGTGTGATCAATTACATATAATACATGATGTCTTATACAAACTTTGACAAAAAGCTTTATTTTTTGAGTATTTGAAAGAATCGAACTTTGACTGTTAGTATCACCAGTTCGTTAAGTGATACAAAGGTGTTGTTTCTTTATTAAAATATACTGTATTGAATCCTGAATCCCAACAAAAAACATTTTTATTAAAAGTACCTTATATTAAATTCATTTGCATGAATCTCAAGAAACATAACCTGCTATCAAATTTACCTTATATTGAATTCCATAGACTGAATTTCAAGAATCAAAAACCTGTTTTTAAAAGTACCTCATATTGGATACCTTTGCCTGTATCTCAAGAAAGAAAACCTGTTATTAAAAGTGTTCTGTATTGAATTCCTTTGCCTGAATCCCAATAAACAAGAACTTGTTTTTATAAACTACTTCATAAGAATTTCTTCGTCTGATTCCCAAGATATAAAAACCTGTTATTAAAAGAGTCTTATACTGAATCCTTTGTCTGAATCTCAACAAATAAAAGCCTGTTAGCAAAAAACATCTCATATTGAACTCCTTTGACTGGATCTCAAGAAACAAAACCTGTTATTGAAAGAGTCTTATACTGAATCCTTTGTCTGAATCCTAACAAATAAAAGCCTGTTAGCAAAAACATCTCATATTGAACTCCTTTGACTGGATCTCAAGAAACAAAACCTGTTATTGAAAGAGTCTTATACTGAATCCTTTGTCTGAATCCTAACAAATAAAAAGCCTGTTAGCAAAAAAAACATCTCATATTGAACTCCTTTGACTGGATCTCAAGAAACAAAACCTGTTATTGAAAGAGTCTTATACTGAATC